CATGCAGAGCTGCCAGTGGGAGCCATCTCAGCTGGCACAGCACTTTGCGCCCTTGAGCCCATGAAGGTGGGCACACACTGAGCATGCTGTGATGCCCTGTGTCATGTGTCCCCTCCCTCCCACGCTGCGGGACCCCTGAGCAAAGTAGAGCCTTTAGCAGCGGAGGAATGGCAGGAAGTATTGTGTGTGTCAGCAGGCAGGCAGTGCGAGCAAAGGGAGCTCGGTGGGAGGTACGGCTGCAGGAGCTGCTCCCAAGAAAGCACCTGTGTGTCTGTGAGACCGAGCGTGGGATTTATGTGGGATTCTGTGTGCCAGAGACCCCGGCGTGGCTGGACCTCAGATGAAAGGCTGTTTGTATTTGCAATGCCAGGATCTGTTCCAATATTACCTTTCTGCAGCCTACCATCTTCTGTGGTTCATCAAAGGGGCGATCACAGGGTGCTGGAGTCAGGGCCCTGGTGGGTTATCAGTGCTGGGCTGCATGTTTGGGCTCTGTTATCACACCAGCGCGCTCCAGCCACAAACAGCAAGGTGCAGCTGGGGGATGGTGATGGGATGCCCAAATCCCTGCAAGGGCAGTGTTGGGGGGGAGTGTCGATGCCCTCCGACAGGAGCTTCCCAATGCCTCTGCTGCCACGGGAGCCCTGCAGCTCACCCCAGTCCCTGTGTGTTCCTGTGCTGTTTGTGTCTCCCGAGTGCTGCAGCTGCTGCAGGGCAGAAAAGTTGTTCTGCTATCGCTTGGGTCCTTCCTGGAGCTTTTCTGGTGTTTTATCTCTATGAAGTGTCTATCACCAAGGTGCCTTTCCCAGAGGCAGGCTAACAACTGACCCCCAGGAGCTTTTCCTGTGACTTGAGGCTAATTTATCTGTCAAAATTCTCATTTCGTCCATAGATTCACAAACCATTTCCCTGCCCTTTCCACAGACACAGATCCTAACCTCCTAGCAAAGCTGCTCCTGCGCAACCTTCTCTTCCTCTCCATCCTCCTGTCTCCTCCTGTCTCCCCCTTACCTGAGCTGCTCTGCCCCAGCTGTTATTTTTGCTCATTATTTGCTAAATCCCTCTGTAATGGAACAAGACTGAGCTATTGGGTTTTGGTGCCTGGTAGCAAATTTATTTAGCAGAGTTTAGTAGCTCATTCCCTTAGTAACAGCACGAATCACTGTCCGTGTTACACCTAGAGGCAGCGTCAGAGTTCAGCAGCAGTGAACCCCACCAGGTATGTGCTGGTCAATGAGGACTTCATCCCTTCATAGCTCCAGACTACACCGTCCCCCATGCACTCCGAGCACATGAGGGCATTTCTGTATTCATCCCCTCTTGCCTTGCTCCTCCTGGCTTTCCTTCCCCTGAAGCCTTGGATAATTTCCCCCAGAGTATGGGAACATCATTTTGGCTTTTCTTGTCTGGATCTCTGTTATTTCTACATTTTCCTCTGCCACTTTCACATCATCCATAGACTTTATTAAACTGCTCTTTCCTCCTCTCTCTGCATCACTTCCCTTAATCTGCTCAAGGGTTCAGAGGCTGTTACTGAGATCAGGTCCCGTCCTTCCCCTCCGGGCTGTTTGACCCCAGGTCCAGCAGGGACCCTCGTGCATACACAGACTGGAGCTGGACAGTTTGGCTCCATCACCGTTGCTGCTGCTCCCCACGTCTGTGTCTGTGCAAGTGTGGTTATGCCAACCCGCACCGCCTCTGCCTGCATCAGTGCCTTAGCAGATACTCCCTGCTCCCTCCACCCGCAGGTGTGGACAGGCCACAGCTGCCTGCACGCCAGCTGTTTTGCACATCTGGGCATTTCTGTGAAGATGTGTGACTGTGCCCAGCTCGCAGCTCCACGCTGCCTCCATGTCACTGTGAATCCTCCTCCATAACCCCTTTAAAATGTGCCCCAAATGCCCATGAGTTGTGCCAGAACAGGATGCTCAGAGGCTGTGCCAGCAACACAAGGAAATAATGACTCTGAACATGGCATTCTGGGCATCTGCGCTGCCCCGGTCACTGACTCACCTCTGCAGCAGCAGTGCTGCTTTGCTCCGTTCTCAGTTCCTGTGTTGTTTGTGGAAATACACAATAAAGAGTTGCAGAAGGTGACCGTGTTGGAGGGTGATGCTTGAGTGGCAGAGCGGGAGGTGGCAGGGGCTGTGCAGAGCTGGGCTCTGCTCAGGCTGAGCCCAGGGCAGAAATCAGGACAGCCCAGGGTCCCTGGCAATGCCACCACAGCCCCCAAAATTCATGTACTTATTTCCTGATAGATGACTCCCACCTCCAGATGCGTGTTCATGTCCCTCTGCTTAAGGACCTAGATGCGGCCGGTCCCTGCTTCCACCACTCTGTGAACCCAAGAGCTTGCCGTGCCCCTGAAAGGAGCTCATGGGACACATGCAAAGCCTCCTGCCTGTGCCAGTGCCAGTGCCAGCTGGTTTGTTGACAGAGAAGCTGTTTCGCCCTGTGGTAGGGCCGAACCTTCACCCTCTCAGCAGCTGCTGCTGCCCGCAGCGAGCCTGGAACCAGTCTGCCCACATACCTGCTGCTGCTCCCGTCCTCAGCCCTTCTGCAGCTTCCTGGGGGAGCCCCCCTTCAAGAGGCTCCTCCTTTTCTGCTCTGACCCCCTGGTATTCCCTTTGTCCCCATGGGAGCTGCCAGGCTCCTGCCCACTTGCACTGGAGCTTCCTGGGGAGGGGGCACAGAGGGGCTGCCACGGGGCTGGGGACCCCTGCACACCCCAAAACCAGCCACATCTGCTCTGTTAAAGGATAAATGGGTGGGCCTCCCAGCAGGGTCAAAGCAGACAAGCAACTGACCACTGGGTACTGAGGGATGAGAGTAAGAGACATCCTGGATTAATAAACCTGGGAAGCAGTTGGATTTTTAATCTCTTTTAGGGCATCACTGAGACCAGAAGTAAAATACTGCATCTACCATGAGTTCATGGGATGGAAAAGCATATTGAAAAGCCCAGAAAATATCTTCCAAAAGATAACTAAAAAACATTTTCCTAGCCCTCAGATTTAAGTCTCTTATCTTACCTGAAAGATGTTAGAAAGTTTCAAAAATTACAGCATCTACTGTATTTTCACAGTGAATGAGCCCAGAAGGCAAAACATGAGGCAGTGACTGCAAAAGTAAAGCTCAGTTTAGAAATACAGCATTTAAGAGCAAAAACTGGCTGACCACTAAAAGAAGCCACCAGGTTTTCCTCCTCATGGCTCCAAACAGCACAATCCCGCTCTGGAAGGTGCTTTAAGTCACTGGCCTGTGTTGCCTATCCAGAGCCTCAGCCAGTTGTCCCCCTTGGTTTACATTCCCTGACGTGTGTTATTTACTTTTGTATTCACTGTGCTCTGTAAATATCTTAATAAGCAGGGAGACAGAAAGGCAGTTTACAGTGAAATGGCAGCCTGAAGGAGGTGGGGGGAATTCGCCGTGTGGCAGGGCTGCAGGAAATGCCATCCCTGTGATGCTGCTTCATCCTCTGGAGCGTGATGGAGAGATTCCTGGGCTATCAGGGATGGTAACTGGGCTGTGCCCTGAAAAATCTTCCCAGCTGGAAGGTACCATCAAGTGTGAATCACTTACTGAGGGTCAACGCTGCTGCTCCCTGCTTTTAACTCCAGCGTTGACCCACCCAGGCACAAGCAGCTACAGCAGCAACAACGTGGAGTTACCTGTGTCTCATGTGCTGTTTATCGCACCACAAAGATGACAGGAATGCAAAAATTATAATGTTCATGCAACTCTGCAGCGAGAGACACAGCCAGGACTCTGCCATGGGTGCTGGGGACAGGGCTGTCTCGCCCCAGCGCACGGGCCTGCCTGACGCCGCAACAGGCGCCGCTGAGTTTGCTCAGCCTTGCAGAGCTGACGTGGGAAAGGTTAAGTGCCTTTGTAGCACATCCTGCTGGAGAGGGAAGAGAGAAAACATGGAAGGAGCACAGAGGGAAGCAGCACTGGAGAGATGTGCATGGGAGCCCTGTGAGGATGCACTGGGGCTGCCTGCGCCAGATCAGGTAACAGGTTTGTCTGCTCAAGAGGACTCCTTGTGCCACAGACACACACAGAATCTCACACACAGAAAGTGAGGAGCTGGAAGGGACCTGGAAAGCTGATCCAGTGCAACCCCTGCCACAGCAGGATCACCAGAGCAGTCACACAGGAACACGGCCAGGGCTTTGGGTGTCTCCACACAAGGACACTCCACAACCTCTCTGGGCAGCCTGGGCCATGCTCCAGAACCCTCACACTCACAAAGTTTCTCCTCATCTTCAGCTTGAACCTCCTGTGCTCCAGCTTGGGACCATTGCCCCTTGTCCTGCCATTGGCCATCCCAGAGCAGAGCCTGGCTCCTTCCTCCTGACACTGCCCTTTCCCAATGGATCCCCAGGAATGAGGGCACCCCTCAGTCTCCTCTGCTCCAAGCTCAAGAGCCCCAGCTCCCTCAGCCGCTCCTCAGCAGGAGATGCTCCACTCCCTGCAGCATCTTTGTGGTCCTGCTGGACACTTTCAAGCAGTTCCTGTCCTTCTTGATCTGAGGGCCCAGAACTGGACACAATATTGCAGACGTGGTGTGAGCAGGGCAGAGCAGAGGGGGAGGAGAACCTCTCTCGACCTACTACCACCACCCCTTCCTGTTCCTCACCGCACCAGTTAACGAGAATCGTACCTATGGTCCTTGAAAGCACATGTAAAGAAAGCAGCACCCTGTCTGGGGGGGTCTCCTCCCATCACAGCCACTGGGAGAACCCAAACAAACCATGGCAGGCAGAGGCGGGGTTAAATCATGCTTTAATCACACCCTGGAGTGACAGCGCATTGAGGGATGGAGCAGGGCTGGGTCTGGCACTGTGGGGCAGTGAGGCCAGTGCTGCAACCCCACAGGGAGCAGCAGAGCAGGCTCCTGTTCCCACCCCACCAGGCTGCCTGGGCACAATGGGCACCATCTACTTATCCTTAGCATCTGATCAGGGCTGGGAGAGCAGCAGCGGGCCCGGTGTCACCATGCTGGTGCGGGTCCAGTGTCACCACGTTGGTGCAGCCCCGCTGGCATCACACTGGGGCACCGTGGGGCCGGCTGCCTTCAGCCTCCATCACCATTCCCAGCCCACCCCTTCTCCCCTCTCCTCTCTGCTTCTTTCCCCCTGTCCCCAGCGACGTGGAGCTCAAAGCCGAGGGCAGGTGAGAAATGGCAGGAAGGGAGTGGAGATGGGGGGCCAGCGAGAGGCCGCAGTGGTGGTGGCTGTGCTCAGATGGAGAGGGGGGGC